GTGCCAAGGCGTCTGCCTGTTTCACCGACATACCTTGCAGCGCAGTCTTGGCATGGTATGCTGTAGACCAGAGCTGATTGTTCTGTCAAAGTTAGCGGGTCTTTGGGCCTCATGAGCTGCTGTCTGATCGTTGATTCTGGCCTATGAGCCATACCGATCCCGAATGGTTTCAGGATTCTTGCTGCCGCCTCTGATACATTCTTCACATAAGGGATTGCGAGCCAGAACTTAGGGTCCTCTCCTTTCGACCGCTGCAGGTGAGGCTTCTTAAGACACTTGCATACAAAGGACTTCGGATAACCGTTGACGTGAAATAGGGCATGCAAGTACTTAATCTCCTCCTTTTTCCCATTTTCGGTGATGCAGTGTGTCTGAACGCGTTGAAAGAGGGCGAGCTTTTGAAACGTCAGCCAGAATACACTTTGGTGCCAGAAATCGTCTCTACTTCTTCTTCACCCTCCGGGGATGATGTAAGGAATATTTTATCCGGACCTCGAATTTTTTCGGATATTTTTACGTATATATATATTTTATCATTGATTTTCAATGTCCCTATAAATTCAAATATATTTTATAGAAAACATTCTCATAAATGTCCTCTCTTGTACGGCTTTGATAGTCATGTAGACTTTTTTCAAATTCTACACTATAAGAAAGCATATCTTTTGGTTTTAAAAAAAGTATAATTTCGAGGTTTCTTAAGATTGTAAAATGTTCATCCTTAGTTGGCATTGAGTCAGACAATGTATGCTCATTATCATTCTGCAGAAAAACAACACTTGTTAACGCAGGAATTCGGTTAGAATTCCAGTCAGCTTAGGACCTATTAAACATAGTACCAAATTTGAAAAAGTCAGGATTCCGGGATAAGAGTTACAGTTCGTGGTTTGCTCACCGGAATAAATTTTTTAGTTTGCTGACTTTTCGGACAGCTGGGCCGACTGTGCTTTGTCGAAGCGTGTACTTACTTTATTGATCAGCAAAGTTAAAGTTGCGGTTGTATGTGTTGGCCTTAAGCT